TTTTATGCCTTTTGTTTTATTGTTTTGCAAGAAATACTTGTTATATTACTTTGTATTTTTTTTACAAGAAAAATAAAAAAATGTTGTATTATCTTTTTTATCTTTATCTTGAAAAGCCTTTCATTTTTTATTTTTTCTATTTTTTTACAATAGTATTTTCTTCCTTTGTTTTCTTTTTTGACAACAAAAATAAACGAGGACATGCGCTAAGGTTCGAACTCTAGACGTCCATCGAAAAATCGGAATTGTCAACCAACATGGCCACGTCGCCTAATGTGATTTTATTAGCTTCTATAATAATATATATTCAATCGTCTTGCTTTAATGATTTTTTGTGGGAATTATCCTACATTGAAAGATGAGCCTCGCTTTGTTCTCTATAAATTCTTGTGTAATAGATATCGTATTGCGCATGTAAAAAAGCGAGGGGACAGACATGTGACATGAGTTACCACGTGTAGATATGTCGAAGGATTTTTAGGTGCCACATGTTGCACCCGTGAGGCGGCCACGTGTAAACCCAAAAATTACTAGAATGCCCACGTCGTTTAGAATCAAGCGATGATGTCATACGGCAAAGAACCGGGCGATTCATGACGCAATGCGATGATTTACCATACAGAATCGCCAGTTCTTCTCTAGAACCGGGTGATCCAGCGTGCTTCAGTGGAATCGACACGGGGGGACCGATTTTCGTGCCAACTCGGGCGAGTCTGTTGCGACTCGCTGATTTTTTACTCACTAGTCCAAACAGACCTTCCTAGATCCCACTTTCCAAAAATGGGCGATTCTTATATATCCAGGATTTCCCAAATACCATATATGGAAAAATTCTGCTACACGTCTTCCCAAAAGTGGCAAACTTGTCGACCTTGTATCTCACGATCCGTAAGTCAGATCAAGATGAAATTTGGATAACGTCGTGCCCCTCGATAAGCATGATCTTTTATTATAAGCCATGGATGTGATCAACAATCAGATCAAAAGTTACTCAAGAGAGAAGTCTGCAAAAGTTCGAGCTTATCCAAAAAACAGTTTGCGCTCCAATGACCGTAACTCGACATCCGATAGTCAGATCAACCTCAAAATTGGTGCATTGAAATCATGATCCGACTAGCTTCGGTTTCATGTAAGAAACGTCAAGATTAGGGTCCGAGAAGGTGCTCTTCTAGGTTTAAAAGTGGGCATGAATTTCGAAAAAACAGAAAAGTGGTTTTCCGATTACTTGATATATTCCAATTTGGTCGATCGGAGGTCATTTCGCATGATTTTTGGTGCAAAACGATCGTGTCGACATCAAGTTCGATCTACCAACAAAAGAAATGCAATAAATACGGCATTCTCGGAGCAATCAATCAAAGAAGAAAATTAAAGTTTGCATAAAACCATGAAATCCAAAAATGTCAAGAACATTGTCAAATCTTCATAGTTCTCTGCAAACCATATATTAAAACAATCGCCTCGACATGATCTACATTTTCGCAGTGTTAGATCATTTGTTCCGGTGCCGGTGGATCGGAAGAGCCTTTTTTGGGGGATCTATTTTGCAATTATGAGTTTCGTTCAGGACTTTTTTGTCATTAATCATTTTTTCCAAATTTCCACTTTGTTTTTATAATTTTTATTTTCACTCATTTCCCATGGGTTTTGAGCAACCACCCTACTTCAAAGGGGGAGGCTTATATGAACCCCACCATATGTAACTTTAAAAAGGGTTAAAAAAGGCTTCAAACATTAAAGAAAGGCTTAGAGAAAGGGAGTGAAGATCTCTTTTGCTTTGAACATATTAAAACTCTACTACCTTGAAGTGAGAACAGAGAAACATTTTGCAAAACTTCAAACCCACACCACACCTCATACCCAATCCCACACCCTATCCTATTCCATACTACACCCTACTCAGTCCCCATTACACCCTACTCCCTAGTCTATAGTTTACCCTACTCCACACCTAACCCCCTTTAGTCTAGATAAGCCCTCGTAAGGAGGACCTTCCTGCACGGTGCCAAAGTAGACTTGACCTACACCGACCCCGTGTGGAAGCCCTCTGGGGTACTTTGGCTACTCACCTAGTACCTTTTTCTATTGTACCCCCTAAGGGAGGTGCTGCCGGAATTTCTTTGGATTGTGGTTAACCCGTCTCTATCACTAGTTTAACCCATTTACAATCCTAGCTAACTCAACACACATCTCTTGGAGTGCCAACCCACTTCGAGCCCACTTGAACCCACCTTGAGCCCACTTGAACCCACTTTGAGCCTATTGGCCCCTACTAGAACCCACCCTTGAGCTAAACCCAAACCTATAAAAACCAAATCTAAGCTTATCCGAATCAAGCCAAACCAAGCCGAGTCGAGCCGAGGAGCATCTAGGACACGTCTAGCAATAGTGAGCGGGTGAATCAATAGTAGACCGAGGCGGAGGAAGGCGTAAGGGAGTGGAATAAAACCGAGTCTGAGAGCGATCGAGGAGCTTTCTGCAGCACGGCACGTCATGCCACACCGGTATCTAAGAGGGTGAGATGTCCAGACATATCTGACCCCAAATTTTGAGGTAAGTACACCCCACCCTAATTTTGTTGGTTCGCACCACACCACACCTTACCCACACATACCGCACAAGCACTCGAGGTTACCCACGTGCGCACACGTGCGCACGGGGGGTTCAAAGCACTGGGGCCCTGACCAACCACACTCGAGTGGTGCAGTGTGTCACTTAAGTTAAACACCCTAGCATGAGCATATAACATAAGTTCAAGGTTCATGATATGATGTGACAAAGTTTTAAGCGGGCTGCCTACTTAACGCAACCCACCTCCTTTACCCAAGCTTGGGACAGTTTAGGGGTAGTTAAAGGTCCTCACTCTTATTAGACCATCATTAGATTAAAATTTGACCATGTATTCGTGTTATTGGATTGGGTTATCATATGGGATGTATCTAAGACCTTAATTGGCAAAAATTAATTCACAATTTCACTTCTCATAATATAAATGCATGATTTGGTGATGCTATGTAATTTGAGATTGGCCCATTTATGTGCTCCATGGTTATGTAATTTGTACATTTGAAGTCCTTTGTTTTCTGGGATGATTTCATGGGTAATAATTATGTTATGTTGAGTTTTGGCCAATCTCTAAGTGGAGTATTGAGTAGAACTAGTGGACCAATTTAGAGTATTGTTTGTAGTCATTTGAGGTGTATTTGGTTATGTAATTTTGAGATGTAATGACCTATTCCTTGCTGTAATTTCTAGTTTGTGATTGTATTTTGGGTCTTCTAAATTTTTGGGTTTGTAATCCTTGGGGGAGGCCCCCAGACACCATGACAAGATAGTCAACCAGTTCCTCTGCAACCCAAGAAAGAATGCACGTATTAAGATCACAAAAATCATCATTATCATCTCAGCAGTTAAGCAGCATCATCATCCATCATTTCATAGGAATTTTCAAGGTCCGACATCAAGGCATTGCAGCCAATATATTGCAGTCATTGCCTCGGATTGTAACAAATGAGCACCAAAGTATACTCTAATTTGTACCTTTTATTGACCATTAGACATTTCACTTCAAGTAGCAAACTGACATGGAAAAACAAGACCAATCAAACATGTTTAATTTCATACTACAAAACAAAATAGTAAGCACATTTGACGCCCATTCCAGCCCAAGAGATGCTTGACCTTTTATGTTTAAGGCCCCACACCTGGCAGCCAAAAGATGAGCATATCAGCATGCTCAATCCCATATTATTGAAGAATAACCAATTTTCCAGGAATGCTGGCCACATGCCCCACTATCTCATGTCAGACATAAACTCAACCTTTTAAACCGCATTTAGGACAGTTCAGATCCATTTTTCATGAAATGCATGATTTGTGTTGGTAGTCAATGGTCCACCAGTTGGGAGCCCCCTTTCACCCCCTTTTGCATTAGTGTGGTCATGCAAAAACAGTTAATTGAGTTCTATTTGGAAAGGAGTCCTGACCCCTTTCCAAATAAGCATTGTTTAAGAAAAAGAGATCTCAAACCTTTTGCGCTCTAATAAGCGATGTCTTGCATTTTATTTGAAAAGGGGTCCTGGCCTCTTTCTACGCTTATTATACATAGTGCATTCGAATGCGTCAGCTGATCCATTACCATCCTCAACTTGTCCTGCTCCCAAACAAAGCATTACCATTCAAGGGCCCCATAAGTGATGGCTTCCACAAATGTCACCAGCTTACGCCTTCAATCCCAGTCCCACAACCCATTGCGTCAATGATATATATAATTAAGTCCTAAATTTCAAATTGTGGGCACCCCGCATAGTTTCCCTACCAGCATCACTTGTCCCATGCCTCAAAGAAGTCTCTCTAAGTCTGTGCTTTATATTTTTCTTCTCCTACTGTGACTTCTTCACAATTTTCATCTTTACTTGCAGAGGCTATTGAGTGTATCTTAATTGAACAAACAAATTTTGTAAAACCTGCTATTCATGAAGTGTAGATTCTATGATTTGCATCCCAGTACATCGCAGAGATAGGAAAAAGAAAATGATGAACTTTTATTTGAAACATTATCCATCAAGGTATGCAATTTCAAAATGCCTAAACATGGGTTAGCACCAGTAAAACCAAAGGAAAAAAAAAAAAATCCATTCCCTGATGCATATTAATATGGAATGATATAATATTTGAAAGTATCAGAAGATCATTGGACCTATAATATGTTAGCATAAAATACAAAATAATGCCAGTAGATTTAACATTCCTTTAGTCGATGTCTTGATCAATGTCCACTAGAAACTACTTTCTTCAAAAATTAACTGTACGGGATCAAGTTCAAAAGAGATACAGTAAATCACACCCATAAAGGAAGCATTAAATTTAATATTTCAAGTGAGAACTGCAAAGATATAAACAGGAAAGAAGAAAGAAAAAAATATAAAAAGATAAAAAAGGAACAGAAAAAGAAAACTAACAAAGTAAGTTTCAACGAAGCAAATGGATCTGGGTCTTACTTGAGATGTAAACCGCTTGTCAGTTAACCAGAAGAGGCGAATGTCCGGTATTTCGAACAGGACCATTGCTAGTCGTTCAAGACCAAGCCCAAATGCCCATGCTATATTATCCAGTCTACCATTTCTTCTTAGTATTTCCTGCTCAGTTACTCCACAACCCAACACTTCCATCCACTTCTCCTGAAATAGAGTGACAGGAACGTTAACAGTGTCTCAAAATGAAAACTATGCCAATTTCTCAAAGATACTATATCTTTGTTAGTAAGAAGTCTTGAAATGCTCACAATCTAGCTTTGCCCCAATCATGTCCACATTCCAATTTCTAGCTATAGATAAAGCATAAAAGAACCAAACCCAACCATTTCTATAAGTTTTGTGATCATCACCCAGGAGTGAAGAACTTTGCGGATCACAAGTCTCCTAGAGAAATGACTCTTTCAATTGAGAGCTCAACAAAATAAAGAATATGAGAACACACAAAAGATTCATGGCAAGTTGTGAATATACTATCTTTCCCATGAATACAAAATTCAGAGGAAGTTCACAATAAAAATATTAAGAAAACTCATATATAAGTATATAACTACCTAAGTATAGTTATTTATGCAACATAATTTTCTGTCCACAAACTATCATAATCGTTTGGGACAAGATTATAGTGGAGGAAAACAAGATTAAAAGCAAAGGGACAAAAGATTTATAAATTTATGTGAAATTGTTTTTGTCTTTTAAATAAGAATATTTTGTGAGGGATAATTATGGAAGTTGGCCCTAAATGAGTGATTTTAGAGTAAAATATATCATAAACCTTGCTTTTGATGTTCCTTAGGAGTTCCAACAAGGAGATCGTCAAGAGAGAAAATCTTGGGGTCTTCACATTAGGGATACTTGTTTTTTGATAATTAAAGTTTTATTTTCTTTTCCTTTTTTCTGTTTTTTTTTTTGGGAGGGGGGGGGTTGGGGAGGGCCTAATTCGCCCCTCGACCCATGGTAGGAATCGAGCCTAGGAATTAGGCTTGCAAACTGTCAAGCGCTAACCAATCCATCCTGGACTCTTTTCCTCATTTAGGGATACTAATGAGAGACTATTAGTGTCTGGGTCGAGAAAGAGACAAACCAAGAGCGCTAATACAGGCTGCATAACTTTTGGGAAGAAATCATGCTGCATATAAGAAAGCAATAAGGTAAGTCAACCTTTTTGTTACACCAAATCTTCTTGGGTACGAGTGTTTGTATCAAAGGCTCAAAGCCGCATAAAAACGTCATCAAACATTGCCACTTACAAGTCAACTATCAAGAACTAAAATCCACCTAGGATATCCACAAAAGGTCAGAGAGGGATGGCAAGAAAGAGAACCCCCATCTATGCCCAATGAATACCGCAAATGCCACAATTTCTTTTGGTAGGTCAACTTAGTTTGCACCAGGGATGGTCGAATCCTAGAGCTCTCCATTCCACACCTTGAGTCTCACTTGGCCGAAGGCCTGATGGATAGCCAAATAATATAACATAAGAGCCAAACTGAGAAGTCTGAAGTGACCTATAAAATTGATTAAAACTGATATGCTACTTGAACCTCTTGAGAAATATCAATTATGGTGATTGGCCAAGAATATCAACAAAATGCCTGTTTAATTTGGATTTTGAGAGTTTAATTATTTATGTGGGAAGTTCAGGGGCATTTATAGTGTTCTTGTATACTTCCGATAAAGGCATTTTAGTCAGTCATACATGCCAAACCATAAATAAGGGCTTTATTTGTGGCCATTGAGGCCTCATCTTTAATTTACTTTTGATTTATCTTGATTCATCTAGGGGCACAAGGGAATTCCCTACACAAGGGAATTCCCTAGTTAGAGGATAGGGGGAGGCATAGTTACCCAGTGAGGTCCATTCGTGGACCAAAGGACCCATGTGTTGCAAGCATGAATAATAAGCCACATGCATTTCAACCTAAAGAAAATCACACGGCATTTCATTGCAAGTTTCACAGACTGAAGGACTTCGTGGGAAAAATTCTCAGAGAAAGATTTTAAAGGTATGTGGAATTAAGCAAGCGTGGGCCCATGACAAGAGTCAAAAGTCAAAAACCACATTAAGCAGGTTCATTTTGTTCATTAGGACTAAGTTCCTCACTTGAAACATTTGAAACTCGAAAGAGATCCCATGATGTCATTCATTTCGATGGTGTTTTGGACATTCATATGGTCACAAAGCATTGTATCTTCCTTTCACTTCAATTCAACATCCCATTTATATTGATAAGCGGTTTCACAACATGCTTGATCCAGTTTGCTAAGGCATTTTCTGTAACCAAAATCTCCATATACCAAGGTTGAAACAGGATCCCAGTCATTTAAAAATAAAAAAAATAAAAAATAAAAAGTAGAAAAAAGAAGCTATCAGGCAACATGTTGCACCATAGAAAACAGCAATTTCAAGTTAATTATGAAGAACATCACGACAAGAATAACCTTGTACAGTATATTCACCACTTGCACCACCTCAGACAGGCAAAATGAAAAATCTGAAATATAAGTCATGAGAAATAACTCACCTGAAAGTATATTTCCAATTCAAATGATGGATTCGTAAAAGGAAAATAAGTATCAACCCAGCGCATTTCAACAGCACCTGTAATATTTCAGTATGTTCTGATACATAAAGTTCCTTCAGAAAATTAAAACATCCCCACAACTATTTAAGCCATCAAAACAGGATGTGATATATAATGTACCAAACAAGCGGCGTGCTAAGCCCTCGAGGGACTTCTTTAAATCAGTGGCTGCATATGAAGTTGCATCCAGGCCAGATGGGATCCATTCAGCAGGGGAGAAAACACGAACCCCTTCCATCTATTCAGAGATTCTGTATTCATTAGTTCAAGACTCATCATAATATAAATCTCGCAAAAAAAGATCTCTCATATTTTTCATAAGAAAGAAGGAAAAAAACAAAACCTGATGAAATACAGGATAGTGAGTAGAGTCGATAGAATCCCTACGATAAACATCTCCAGTGACAAGAAAATGGCTGTGTCCTCTCCTCAATAATTCTGCCTGATGAGCACTTGTATGGCACCTTAACACTGTTTGAGCATCAACATAATACGTGTCATTGTAGCTCCTGCTTACATGATTAGCTGGAACCAACACATCATCAAAGTTCTGCAAAAGATAGTCATATGAATGTCACGATGATTTTAGGTCAAATGGGTTACCATAATAAGGCACAAAGAAAACATGCAATTACACCAAATAAGAAGATTAGAATAATAATCAACAGACTAATAAAGCTCTCGATTGACTCAAATAATATGCACAGTATTGTTTGTAAGTAACATAAAACAGCCTAGAGTTTATTGATTTCAAGTTATTGGTCTCAATCAATTATTTTATGGTTGTTTTCAATTAGAATTCTAAAGTTGCACCAGAGGTCAGGGTGCAATGTCTACAATGCAAATCTTATAGTAAATTCCATATCTGCCTATCTGCATGTTTGACATACATAATTACATACCAAATACATATCATTCATTCAAGCATCCATTTTTTCATGCATGCATATAGAGAATGAGAAAGCATGATTGAATACATATATGTCTCACGTTGCATTTTACAAGAAAATGAAAACAAAAAAAAAAGGTTTAAATATAGAGAATAAAGAGACAATGAAAGCAAGCAATAAGCTTATGAATAAAAAGTGGCAGAGTGAATAAAATAGAATAGAAAGAATGGAAAGGTCCATACAATTTTGAACTATAATTCACACAAAGAATAAGAAGTTGAAAGCACAAGAACTAAAATAAAGTGGACAACAAAAATATGAATCATCATCATCTAAGCCTTATCCCAACTATTTGGGGTCAGCTACATGAATCATGTTCCGCCATTCTGCTCATAGGTTCAGGATTCATGACAAGATTGTTGGGTTTTTGTGGCAATTTAAAGGCCTTGTGAGAGTAGGTAATGCAAATATGTAATGAATTATTGACTCCAGTGGGACTATGGTCCAGCTTGGACTGTAGGGGATTAACAATGCCTTAGACTCACATGAGTTTGGACTGGCTATGACTCAATGTGAAGCCCAAAACCCGTAGTCCTAGGCATCGTGTAAGCACAATCGATAAAGCTTTAGATGTGGGGTTATCCCTAGATAAGGTCGGAGATGTGCCCAGGACAGTTGGCCAAGAGGCATGGATTTGACTCATGTTTGTGATGGATGACCTGAGAGGACAAGGTCTTAAATCCTCACCATTACCATCAAACGACATGTATACTAGATAGCTGTCCGGGAAGCGACCCTTTGGATAAGGGTGTGTGATGTAGAAGAGATGACTCCCTGCAATATTGGACTGTGTTGGAAAGACCCAGGGAGCATACTGCTGAAATGGATCATAGACTTGTCCTCAAGGAAGGACCTATAATCCACGGTCTAGGATCGTACTTCTCCACTTACTGGCTGACTTTGATGGTCCAATCATGAACCCCTACGATGGGTTGTGGGTCATGGATCGGTTGGGATAGTTTGAGAAGGTGCAGTAAGATGCGGTCTCTAGAGAGGATGGAGTCCTCTATGTTTTGTCGTAATCCTAACTCTATAGATCTAATTTCCATCAAACTTTATTAGATATATGTTTTAATATGTTTCAATTATATTTCAGATACTTAAAATGAATTTTTAGACCTCTCTAAATTTGACATATGTCTTTTCAAATAGAGAAAAATCAATTTCCTAGATTTATTTTAATCAAAAAGAAAAATAGAAAAATCAATTTCCTAGATTTATTTAATCAAAAAGAAAAATAAAATATTTTGAGGTTATAAAAAATTATTTTATCTGAAATTATGTTTAAGGTATTGGGGTCCCTTGGGTTCATTGAGCCCACCATATTGTGGGGGTGTGAGGCCCACATGGCCATCCACCTCCTCCTTACTTTCCTAAATTGAAAGATGGCAATTATGCGATATGTTGACTTGATATTTTAGGAAAACTTTTTGTGTAGTGATTTTGATTGATTTCAAAATAAGGTGTAAGAAATTAATTGATTGATTTCAAAATAGGATTGTGTAAGAAATTGATTGTGATTGATTTCAAAGTAAGAATTTGTAAGAAATTAATTTTGATTACTTTCTCTACACAATATATTTGATGGGAATTGAGTTATGGAAACTGACGGATAAGGTTACACATCATTCCTTTAATCATGATGGCTGATTTAGGGAGTGAATGGTTGAAATCTCTTCACCCCCATAAGTCTCCAAAATCAAAGGTCAAGATTAAACCTCATGATGATGGCAAAACCCTAGCCTCTTGTCTATAAATACTAGCTATGGGGGTTCTATTTAAATCTCTCTCTCTCTCTCTCTCTCTCTCTCTCTCTCTCTCGCCAAGCAACCAAAGGACACCACGCACCACTCAAGCCTTATCTCTCTTCTTCTCTCATACAATTAGGGTTTAGGAAAGAGTTACCCCTGAGGGGTGGCACGCTCAAGCCACACAAGCCCTAGCCCTAGACCCTTGCCTCATGCTCATCTGATGAGCCCTGATCAAGGAAATCTCATGTGATGCTCTCTAAGGGTTTTGCCTAGGCTTCCCTGATTGTGAGGTGTGTTCTTGAATCGAGATCCCATACGCCATCGATGGAGGAGACCCGGTTTGAGGTGTACGAAGTCTTTGGAGCCAAGGGGTAACCTGAGGCAAGGTACGAGTTGTTTCGTGATTTCGCGCTTCTTTTGTTTCCTTATGTAATTTTCAGTTCTATATGATGAATGTAATTTTCTTTTTAATGGCATGCAAGTGAGAGGTCTTAGCTATTTCATTAAGTCAAAATTGTATTTGGCCACTTGTAAGTGATCTGGGTGGCAATACATATAATAGATTAGAAAAAAAAATTAGTATTGACTTGCCCGGTCACCTAGTCCACCTTTCAAAGATTTGGCAAACTTTTATGTTAATTGTCGTACCTAACACAACCCTCCTACTTTACGCTCGGCACCGGTATGACTGGCAAAGGCGGAGTTATGTAACAACAAAAATATGAATAAAAAACAAACATAAAGAGTGCACAACATATAACATGTAGAAAGTGTATTAGATACTCTAATATAAAAGAAAAGAAGAAATTAAAAAACATAGAAATAAACAAAATACATCACCATCATCTGAGCATTATCCTCACTATTTGAGGTCAGCTACACGAATCATGTTCTGCCCTTCCGCTCTAACATGGGTCATGCCCTCAATCAAGACATAAGTCACATATCTTTTATCATACTTCCATCGATATCCTTTTGGGCCTTCCCCTTACAATTTTAGAGCTTTCTACTTAAACCAAATCGCCCCTCCCAACTCCTAATCAGCGTGGTTCTAGGTCGATGTTGTACATGGCCAGTCACCTAAGTCTAGTCTACTTTCCCTCATCTTTTTTCCTATTGGAGCCACCCCTAAGTTCCCTTTGATATATTCATTGTGAATTCTATCCTTTTTTATCTTGCCACTCATCCATCTCAACTACACTCATCTTATGGATAGGTTGTTTCCTGACAGTGCTACATTCCGTCTCATAAAGCATGACGAGTTTTACAACCGTCTTATAAAACTTCCCCTTCAGTTTTATCGGTCTGCGGTGACCACATAAAACTCCAGAAGCATATCTCCACTATGCCACCCAGCTCTAATTTTATGTGCGTCATCTTTCTCAATCTCTCTATTCTCATGGATTATTGACCCTAAATATCAAACATAATCTCTTTTAAGTACTTCTTGGCCATCAATATTAACTACTACCTCAATTCTACTCCTGTTATTTCCAAACTTGCGTTCTACATATTTTGTCTTAATCTGGCTCATTTTAGACATTTAGATTCCAAAGCATACCTCCAACGTTCTAACTTTGCATTGACGCCATCTCTAGTCGCATCAATCAAAATTGTCATCCACAAACAACATAGACAACGATATCTATGCCTATAAATGCATAGTTAACTCGTCTATAATCAAAACAAAGACATATGGGGTCAACCATTAACCCTTAATGTAGGCCCACTGTCACTAAAAACTCACTTATCTCACCACTAGTTGTCCTCACACTAGTTAGTACTCCCTCGTACATATCTCTCACCATATTGATATATCTTGTAGAGGCTCCTTTCTTTCCCAACACCCACCAAATTAACTCTCTGGGTACCCTATCGTATGCTTTCTTTAAATCATAAGACCAAGTGCAGATCTTTTCTCTTTTCCCTAAACGTCTCAATCAATTGCCTAAGCAGGAAATATCCCTAATTATTGACCTCCCTGGCATAAAACAGAGCTATTTTTTTGATACACTCGTTTCACGTCTTAATCATTGCTCAAGCATTGTCTCCCACAACTTCATAATGTGGCTCATAAGTTGGATCCCTTGATAGTTCATACAATTTTGTATGTCTCCTTTGTTCTTGTAAATAAGTACCACAATACTTCTCCTCCATTCATCTGACATTTTCTTTCAAAATCTTGTTGAACAGCTTGGTCAATCAAAATATGTCAATCTCTCCCATGCAAACTTTTGTCCTCCATTCAAAGGGGGTTCAAAGGTATGATACTACCCCTTCACAAGCAAACTTCCACAAACATCCCAAGATTCCTCCTATGCATCGTTTTCTCCATGTACTAATCAATATGTTGTTTGCGCTTGTATGTTGCTCTTTCAAAGTTTATTGTTTTCCTAGCAAAGTGAAATGCATCCAAAGATTTTAAAATTACCAAAGGATTGACCCAAAGTTCATAGCCATTTTGCACCAACGACGAACTTGAAACAATAAGACTACATAGTGAAGCATAACTCGGAGCAATCAGAAGCCAAATTCTTCCATTACAGCCATTACGCATAAACAGCCACAAACATAAATGTAGCTTCCAACTAATTCTGCTATTTTAGGAGTGCTTCCTGAATTTTTAAGAATAACAATAGGTAGTCTCGGAAATTAAGTTGAACATGCAAAGTTCACGAGATAAGTTACAACTGTGGCATGTACAAGTTTTTGCCTTTTCTTCCACTTCCTTAATTTGTTTAAAATGTGGGGTCCTCCTTTTTCAAAATTCTGAGTACTTAGAGGAGTCTCCATGAAGGAGGAATAGGTCATCTTTGTTTGCAGCAGTCATCAGAGCTATATTAGGAAATAGTATCCATGCAAAAAATATAGTCGCACACCAAGATGAGGCCCATTGATTTCTTCTACTGCATATATTCATTTCCTAAAACACTCGAAATAGGGATTTGAGTGTCCAAATATATGTGTTCTTTCATATATTTCATAGCATGTATCAAATATCTTGAAAAAAAAAAAGTCAGAGATGGACTCAGTGTGAAAGTGGAGTACAGTTTCATATATAGAACGAGACTGTTTGGTCGCATGCTCTTTGATACCTCAATGTTCATTTGAGTTCTCCAACATTCTTTGATTACAGTGACTCTATAACTTTTCATGAACAAGTGAAGCATATTGAGGTCCATTAGCTCTTTATTTGGAAGAAGCTTGCTACAGAAGTTATACATCCTCCCAGTTTGTCAAAAATAATACAAACTCCCATATATCAGCCGAGTAACCACCAGCAAATTTTTTCACTAAAGCCTGGACCAGAGAGTGACATCAGGTTTTAGCGATCAGACTCCCAGTATCGTTGTGTAGGGCCTGAGGAGAGGTAGACAACAAAGATATCTTTTTTTGAGAATGTTAACTTTGTATTAATAGAAAAAGGTATTTACATGAAGAGTAATCTATTTACAGCACCCCCCATATCGGGTGCTCAAACTCAAAATACAATGAAATAAAACAGAGAACAAAAATGCTCACGGGGGAGAGAGACTAAATTCTATATAGGAGGTGCTGCTGAGAAATTCTCAAAAAGGTTCTGGTGTGAGGTCTGGAAGCAGACTTCTAAGAGATTGAGACACCCTCCTTACAGTTTTACAATGCCAGCAGAAAGAATTGATACAAAGATGGGGTTTAGAGGGAAGAGTAGGTGGCTTTTGCTGTCGACCAGGTGGATTGGATGCTCAAGGGTAGCGTTGTTGGGCCTGATGCTTATGGGGAGGACAGCTGATGTTTGAATGCAGTAACCCAAAGGGCCAGGTGTTCACTACCTAGCTCGCCAGGTCTTGGGGAACAGTCATCCTTTCTGTACCATCCTCGATGTACGAGGGCCAAGAACCTTGAACTTTCAGAAAATGGGTAAGGGGGTGTAATTGGTATACCTCAGAGAAGCTCATACAGTCATAGTGGCTACTATGGGTGAAGAGAGAGAATATAGAGATGTAGATATTAGTAGCAGGCCAGGAGAGCTAAGAGAGCTAAGGGAGCGGAGACGAAGAGAAAAAGGGGGAGAGATAGAGGAGAGAAGAGGGATGGAGATAGTGACTTAAGGGGAGATTAGAGAAGCAGCAGAAAAATTAAAAGGAGAAGTGTAGAGAGGGGAGGAGAGGGATGGGATGAGGAGAAAATGAGTATAACTGGTACCATATGCTTTCTCCCGTTGTTTCTTTTCTTTTTTTCCTTTTTTTCCATTGTTTTTTCTCCCCTTTCTTTTTTTCCCTCTTTTTTCCTTTTTTTCCTTTTCCTCGTAGTAGCAAGCAGGGAGAAAGAAGAGGAGTATTACAGCGGGTACGAAGAGGAGTAGAAGAGGGGAGAAGGCAAAAGTAAGAGGGCTGAGGGAGTGGAGACAAAGAGAAGAGGTGGAGAGATAGACAACAAAGATATTTTGAATGTGATACTGTAATGCATCATATACATTTAGTTGCCATGGCTCTCTAATTTAAGTATATCCATAAGAGCATTAAGAACTCCAAACCTATTATTCTTGTATCCAATGTAACAACCTTGTGGTTTTATGTTCAGACCGAGCTAACCTACCTAGTAATAAGATAAAAAGTACACCTTCCGATCTTAAACGTCTAAGTTTTGACTTTGAGAAAGAATTATGAAAGCAATCAGGTGAAGTTCCTAAAGACAAATGGGACGTGCATGTTTATGTAGCATGAATGTCCATGCCACAGAAGTGGAGAACATCAATTTAGCACACATATCTGCTCTAAATACAGGCACATTTCAAATAACTTGATCAAGAGACAAATATATGAAGTTTATTGACAGTTTTGATAATCATAATCACTGCAGACCATAGATTGCACCCAAAAGCAGTCAAGGAATTAGGTCTCTAATCTCAATTCCAACATATCACCTGTTAGCAAAAAGCCCTATTCTTGAAGGGAAGAAATGAAATTTAAATTCACATATTAATCAATTTAACTCAGCCATTCGACATTTAGAAGAATGCACCCTAATCTTCATTGAGCCACATAAAATGGTCACCAAAATGGATTTCTTTTCATCTCTGAACTTCAACAGCTAACTCATTCCTTCAACACTTCCTTTTTTGAGAAAAAAATCATCTCCACGCACATTTATTACTAGTTACTGGTCCACCTAAAAAGACCAGGTGTTTTATACCAGTATTAGCTCCATATTTGATTCACTCACCTCTTTCACAGAAACAAGTGGGCAGATATCGTCAAACTTGATGAACTTCCCACCATAATTTGCATCGAAATAATCATAAATAGCATTCTTTAAAATCCCAATGGGATGGTTGTCCCTCCTATGAAGCTGCAGCCCAATTTTCGAGAATATCGAATCGGTGACATTGTTTGTAGGATCATTTTCCCTCACAACATCTGCCAAAAACAAGATAATAATCAAATCAAATGCTACAAAATCATCAAATTACAAATTCAAAACCATGGGGAATAAGAAGAAGAGAGAAGAAAGGAACAAAATCTCATAGCAAAACTGTAGGGACTGGATTTGATTTGATGAAACTCACCATCTTTGCCAATCTTGACTCCACCAATCTCAAGCAATGAGAGTATAGGTTGAGGGCCCCTCTTGTGTTGCTTATTAGTGGCAAGAGATGAAGAAGAGAAAGAGAGGGAGAAGAGTCTTCTCGCGCTGAAAAGGCTAGGGTTTGCGAGGGATGTTAGGGCATGGTTTAGAGCTGGTCTCGTACGGAGAAGTAGGGCACAAGGGGTTTGTCTTCCAATGCCAGTGGCCATGGCAAGTGTGCTCCCAATATTAGCTGAGGCGATGAATGGAAAGTGTGCACCAATCAAGAAAATAGGACCTCGTCCAAACCCAAAACCCTCACAAAGAGAGAGCAAAGCCTGTTAGGACATCCGGCTGGCAACATATAAGTTGGGATTCTAAGAATATCTGCCCAAACGGATCCACACAATTAAGAATCCCAACAAACTTGTAAGCATATTCGCCCACACATGCACACACACAAACATAGGAAAAAATTATCAATGAGTCGTCCCCTAAAATGAGTATTAGTGTAGGTTTATGCTATTAGCTGTCAGATCTTAATAGTTCAAAATGTATATTGCTATTTTAATTTGGGTTTTGTTAAGCTACACCACTTGGTGGTGTAGACCATTAAAGTGTTCAACATTTTTGGACACTAAAATACCCTTGAATTGTAAAACAAAATCTTTCAAGTAGGGGCCTTTTTGGTCATTTAGAAAGGTAGAATGGATATTTTTATAGTAAAATAGTGGCATTCTATTAGTAGTAAAAAGCAATTAATGCATCTTGTGGGTGATGTCCCACACCATATCGGTGAAATCATTGTCCACTATTGCTAACAAATGCTTTTGTTTCTATTAGGAATTTCTAGTTTACCCTTGACTAATTACTTAAAATACCCCATAAACAAAAAGTTACTATACTAGAGGATAAGGGTATCTAAATGTCTAAAAATGTTGAGCACTTTAAGGGTCCCCTTTTAATTTTAATGTTTTGATACATATATGATCAATATGAATTTTGGGTGTGTGTTTTACATATTAGGGCTCACAAGAAAATATTAAACAAATATTTCTAAAAACTTAAAATGACCAAACTACCCATGGAATATCTTGGGGGTAATTCTATCATTTTAAATAATATTTTTATATGTATGCTAGAGTCAAGTATATACATCTAAAAATTCAATTTAATCTAATTGATAAAAAAAGACTAAAATTCAAATACTATCATGTACTTTCAATCAGTTGATCAAGATCTGATGGCTGGGAGCATAACCTAAATTACTATTGAAGAGTTGTTATTTCTTTTTGTGTGTTTGCCTTTCATTGGTTTGAAGCCACATACACCACACAGACAAACAAACACAAAATGACATAGACCATTTTTAAGTATTTATCGATTTGCTCGATCTGTGCTATTTTTGGAATAGTAAATTTAATAGTTAAGAGTTGAAACATATTTATTGACCATTATAAGAGTTTCTTACGTTGGAACTGCATCTTCCGACAAGCTTTTAGAGATGCATTTGCCTTGATTGTTTAAGGTGCATGCATTACATAAAATGCATCCCTATAACAATCAAGATGTACATTTTTGTTTTATTGCACCCCCTCTCAATGCATGGAAAAAACTTTGTTTTCTCTCTTCCTCCATTTGGACAAAAATTGATGTAAGGTAGCGGCTGATAAATATAATTTCAAATAGAAAAATTACGGGAATTTTTTTTTATAGAGCTGCAATCTAATGACAAAAAAGGCTGCATCCATTTGCACTCTCCACTAATTTGAATGTGCATATGTCACTCACTTTTAGGAGAAATTTTAGGGTATGGGAAGCCTTGGTTACCCATATATAGGTTCCCTCTCGGCTTTCACTTTTCCTTCTCTCTATCTCCCTGTTATCTATCTTGAGCTCCTTGTTCTCTCTCTCTCTAACTTCCCCCTTTCTTTCATTTTCAATCTAAAGCTCCTCATTCTCTCTTTAAAAATTTGAACCTAGGGCATCAAAGTACTTGGAATTAGGGTCTTTGCATTCTTGGATTCTTCCATTTTCCAAGAACTATGGAGCAAGATCCCATTGATAAGCAAATGGAGCGAGATGCGGCTGAGACACATGAAATGGAGCTTTGAGCAATCAGTCAAATCCGTGATGAGTCGACTCCTCAATCCAAGCCTCGAAACTATGGCTGTAGTGATAAAAAAGCAACAAGTGGGATAAGTGTAGATCTAAAAGTGGAGACCGTACACATGCTTTCATGTCTACAAATTACAGTTTGTGAAAACAATGCAATTCTCCATTCAGACCCATACAACTCACCAAAGAATCCTTCTTGCTTATAATCGTGTCATTGCTCTTATCAAATATGCTACCCACTTCTCTCTTTGAATTCGTATCTCCCCTTCCTTTCCTCTCTTCCTCTTATTCATGTTAAAGCATGCTCGGATTCTCCTGCGTCATGTCATGTTATTGATGTATTCTGAAAGGAATCGAGGAAAAGAGTTTATGACCATATCTATCTCTCTGATTCTTGCTGGAATAACATTGAAATTATTTCTTTCATTTTCTTGCTCCTTTCTTGCTCAAAATGGTTGAAAATTATTTGTTCCCTCTTAACTCTTCTTCATTGCTCTAAATGCTTGGACATAATATGGTAGGGTAGCATTTTCAAATAATATATGGATGAAAAAGACCTAAGTAACTAGGATTCACATGATATTTGAATTGTGGGGCTCTTAGGCTGAATTTGATATTAGGCCATGTAAAATTATATTAAATCTAGGGTTTTTAGGATCCTTTTTCTTTATGTTTACTTGTTTAATTGGAGTAATTTTCTCTCTCTAGATCTAGTGCTCCCCATCCTTAGCCCTCTCTATGTCTATTTATCATACAATAAGAATGGAATTGCCACAAAACCAGCCCAAAACCAGGTCCTCGAGATCTCTATTCTTTGTATTCAAATTCCCACTAAAAGAACCGCCAAACCTCCATCCAAATTCACCCAGAGAAGCTGGCATGAGTAATCTTGCTTAAGGGAAAATTGTGAGAACAAGGCTATGAATTTCGATCTTAACATAAGCCTCTCATTGATTTGATGCAATATATTGACACTTGACTATGGATGAGAGGAGAGAGGACAGGGAAGACAAAAGTGAGCTTGGGAGGGGGGGGAGAAAGATAGAGAGAGAGAGATTAGAGTAAGTACGGTGGTGTAGAGGAAGGAGATAGAGAAAATGTTGAATATGTAGAGGAAGGAGAGAGAGAAAATGTTGCATATTAGTTTACAAGAGAGAATGTGGACATGGGTGGAGGGGGTGCTAGTGGGGGGGGAGGGGGGGGAGAGAGAGAAGATAGTTTTAGATTTTATTCATGAGAAGAGAGCATTGTATGGATTATTACTAACCTATTGTCGCTTCCAAAATCTTAGGTTTCGAAGATATAGATCCCATAGGAGAAACCAACCTAGGTAAATGCATGTTACGTCGATTATATTATTGCTTCCTATTCCTACATCTGATCCATGAATTGTCTTATGGCTCACCAATCCAATGAAATTTATGAAAAAACTATCAAGGAGCAAGTGATCCCTTCTCTCACTACCAGCTTCTTCTCAAATTATATCTCCTTGTTCTAGCTGCCACTCGAAAGCCAACGTGCACTAGTGCGCATTGCGTTTCCTTCGCAGCTAAGGATGAAAGCATGGAGGCAATTTAGAAAAGAAAGAAAGGACAAAGGGCACCCAAAGCCCCAGTTTCCCTTGTTGGGTGATTTGAAAAATCTACACCATCTAAATAAATGAATGACAGTTGGCAACAACCTTACTTCAATAAGTAGGACTACAACCTTATACAAACAAAATCAAGATGTTTCCTAAGCCATGAAAATAACGGCCTCATCTTGTGCATAAATTCAATGATTGAAAACCCATTCAGACAATATGCAGCCTGCAATTTGGTGCAAGAACAGTAAAAATGATTTGTTTTTATCAACATGTGCATAATGTGTGATGCTCAAATATGTCAAAAATGGGTTCCATATCATTGAAAAATAATTCTAGAATGCATATAAAATCACAAGAAACAGTATCTTTTAGCAGTATACAAGCATCTTGTTAATGCAACATCTCAACAATGACACCCAGTAACTTTTCCATGCCAACCAAGAGAAACATAGTTACCTCAAGGTTATCATGATTGGTGATTCCTATGCTTCTCAAATCTGTTTTGCTGAAATCCAGCAAAGATCAGCACTCTGACAGTATGAAACCACTGTGAATAAGGTATTGTGCCATTTGCCACATTGGCATTACGTTTTTTACATCAAATCGAGTAAGAACCATGGTAATTTATGACATTTCAAAAATCATTAGAACTTATGTTTTTTATTTTTGAAAGGTACATGGAGCAACTCTAAAGAGATTAACAAAACACAGATAATAGTGAATAAAAAACACAATCTAAAGAAAGAGTTAAAAAATCATAAAACATAACAGAGACAAAATAAATTATGAGCCCTAAGAATTTAATCCAAAATTCTCAGAATACATAACAGAGAGATGAACAAACACGGCTAACAGTGAATAAAAAAATCATAATTTAGAGAAAAGAGTAAAAAACCAAAAAAAAAAAAAACAACAACCGAGAGAGAAACAAAACACTGATAACAGTGAATAAAAAATCACAACCTAGAGAAAGAGTAAAAAATCAGAAGACATAACAAGGAAATGAGAGAGAAATCCAGGTTTTGGAGGAATCTTTTTTTATGCTTGCAAGAACCCTAGAAACACCAATAAGAGTAAATAAAACTTCATCAATTTATGGTTTTTGTAGGAGATTCGAAGATCTTCAACACAACAGAAATAATAAATAAATAAACTAAGAAATAAGAGAGTCCTCAAATGTGGCGAAATTTACATGTTCTTCAGAGGTCCCTCTGTTAAGCCATTGAAATGCTCGGATTTGAGCAAGAAAACTAAAGATAAATTTAGGATTTCTGTAGGGAATTCGAAGAGCTTCAACAAGAATAAAAACTCATAAAAAAAATAACTGAGAGATGAGAGAGAAAAATCTAGGCTTTGGCGGAAAAAATTTCTGCTCGCAAGAACCCTAAAAACATTGATACAGTAAATAAAAGTCGAGAATGGATTGGGCGTACCTGTTTGGAGCTACTGTTTCAAGAGGCGCAGAGCAGTGGTGCCTTGGCGACAAGGAATGGCGCAGCGGCAGAGATGGCGGATGGTCTGCGTTTTGTTTGGAGAGATAGAGGTGTCTTGGTCGTCTAAGCGAGGTGTCTGGTAGAGTGTAGTAGCAATAGTAGAGGGATGAATGGTTTGAAAATTCAGATAAGGACACAGTTCGTAGAAATGAGTGACCACTTAAAATTCTATTTTTGAGATGGAGTTTTGGACTTAATTTTTTAAGGACATGTAATGTCTAAGATCATAAATATGAAAAATAAAAAAATAAAAGGAGATCATTAATATAAAAAAATTAAAAAATTAAAAATAATAATTGTAATAAAATACTATTTGGACTGCTAATTTCAATTGAAAATTAAAAAGTGATCATAGTATGAAAAAATAAAATAATTTGAAAATTAAAAATAATATTTTTATTAAAAAAATATTTAGAATATTAGTTTCGACCGTTTTTAGATAGATTATTTATTAGAATATTGTTTCACGCGGGTTGTATATGTCTAGAAAGTTTAAAGCATCCATCTTAAAGATGGATGCAAGGAAGTGCTCCATCCAAAAACAATAGAAACTAACCGTCCAAATTTTTTCTTACTAGAATTATTATTTCTAAGTTTTCAGATTTATTTAGTTTTTCATATTCATGATCTCCATGCTAGAGATTACTTGTCTTTAAAAATTAAGTCTTAAAATCTATCTCAAAAATAGATTTATTAAGAGACCCGCATTTCTATATATGCGAGCTTGACCGCATAGAAACCGGGTCCTTATCTATCCGCATTCATCTTTAAAATTGATGCTTTATACATTGGGGACCGCAAATGTAGAAATGTGGTCCCCGTAGCATGAAACGTTTTTCCTTCAGATAAACCCTATGTTTTGTTTAGAATTTAGGGAGAGAGAAGAGAAATTCAATCCTCACTGTTAACCTTTTATTAACGTACGGTGAGGGATAAGCCTTCTAAAAATAAGTAAAATAATTATATGTATTATATATATGGGTTCATATAGAGCCGAGGCTTTAAACAATCAAATTTGAGCCGACCTCAAAAAATCTACCTGAAGAAGACGTTTTGATGCCCAAATATCATCAAATTGATCATCTCAAAATCAAGATACATAGACATGAAAAAAAAATATTTGATTTCATGTTTTGAAAGTAGTGTATTTTGTAACCCATTTTTGGATCGTCAATTTTCAAGATTTCATAGATCTTTTGATCTACACTATTTTTTAAACTTTAAACTTTATAAATAAAGATGAAAATATATTTCAAGGCTATCATAAAAATTTTCAGTATTGAAACCACCTTTCACGATACTATGAAGGTACTCTCTAATTTGATTGTTTAGAGACTAGGCTCTCTACAAACCGCACCATTATATATAAATTATAATATATTATAATATATATATATATATATATATATATATTGGGAAAGAGAGAGAGAGTTTATATAGAATCGAGGCCCTAAACAATCAAATTAGAACCCACCTCAAAAATTTCATTAAAAGAGGTTGTTTTGATGCCTAAATATCCTCAAATTGATTATCTTGACCTCAAGATGCACAGACATGAGAAAAAAATAGAATTCAACTTTTAGAAGTAGTAAATCTTGCAATGCACTTTTGGACAATTAATTTTCAATATTTTAAAGTTTTCATTGATCTACTCAATCTACACTATTTTTGAAGCTTTAAATTTTATAGTGATAAAACTATATTTTAAAGCTATCACAAAGATTTTCAATATTGCAACCATATTTTTTGACACTATTTCAAGTTGTGCTTTACTTTGATTATTTAGAGCATCGGCTCTATACAAACCGCATCATATATATATATATATATATATATATATATATATAATTAAACAAATAAGATTATTATAATAAACGAGAAAAAGATTATTACAGTCGCACATGATAAAACAGAGAAAATTAAAAAGGAGGATAAGAGAGAACCTGGTTATGAAGCAAAGGGAAAATACAAGCCCTGGAAAACATAAGATATGCTGGCAGGATAAGCTGGCTGTGAGGTCAAGACAGCAGAGGTGGAGCAGTGGAGTAGAGCTGAAGGTCTTTGAGGAAAGACCTTGAAGCGAGAAGCTTTGAAGAGAGAGAGAAAGAGGGCAGAGAAAATGAGAGAGTAGAGAGTTTGTGAAGAGAGAGAGGGCAGAGAGAATGAGAGAGCAGAGAGTTTGTGAAGAGAGAGAGGGTAGAGAGAATGAAAGAGCAGAGAGTTTGTGAAGAGAGAGAGACAGAGAGAATGAGAGCTCCTAGACCTGAGGAAGAGAAGGAGTTTTGTCTCCTTTTATAGGCGAAGGAGGAGAAGATGCCAAAGAGACATTGATAGGACTTAAAGGAAAAAGAAAAGAAAGAAAACACATAAAGAAAAAGAAAGATGCTTGATTTGACGTAAAGAAGCATCTAGTATAGTAACTTTTTGTTTTTTATGTCGGCAGCAAAGTTTTTATTTTGTCTTTTTTGTCGGCAGCACAGTTTTATTTTGTCTTTTGTGTCGGCAGCACAATGATCTGGTACGAAGAGTATCTGGGAATAGTATTTTGATGATGACATGAGGTAATATGGTACGGCTAAGAATCTTTTATGTCGTTGAGAGCCTGCTTTTGTCGTGCCTGGCTTTGTCGGGTCAGGTTTTATGGTTTTTGGCTGAACTCATTAGGGTTTTCTACTTCATCTTCTTCATCCGGGTCTGTTTCTTTCAACGGGAAATATCTATTGGCACGGTTGGGGGATGATTGAACTGTTTCATCTGAAGAGACTGGCTTGCGTCCGGCTTCAGCAAATATTTCTCGCATTTGTTGTTCTAAAGTTTCTTTGGTGGCATTCGGATTGGTTTGAAGCATATTTCTAAGATATGTAGGAAATCAAATGAGGTATTGGTAGCAGTATTATAAGCAGAGGGATTAGGATTATAAATAGGTTTCTCTGACGGTATTCTTTTGGGCACAATGGTAGTAGGATCCATATTGAAAATATCCCACCATTTTACAGAGATGGTTTTTTCCAAACGAGGGATATAAGTGTAATCGGTTGTATTATTAGAAGACACAGTATATTCCCATTTCATAATCTATGGGAGTTGATATAAGGTGACAAAGTATAAGTGTGGATCAATATTGCTATCAATCTTATTGAATATTTCAAATTGCTCCTGTGCTTTGTTAAAAGCAGGTGGTAAAATAGCACTTGTAGGGCCCCATATAAGAAACCAGTTTTTAAACCAACTAGGAAATCGTTCATAGAGAGGCATCCGAAATTGGATGTACCAACTATGAGAATTGTTTGGATTTTGATATGAAATATTTTATGCCATACCTCAATATACTCTGCATATTTATAGTACTTATAAGAAAAATCTGGATTATTTAGTTTTTTGCTTGGGTGGAGTTACAACCTCACTCCTCATAGGATAAAAGCTTTTTTATTTGTATTTTTGAGTATGCAATAACTCTTATATTTTGTTGATAATAATGGACCAGAGGGACGGACCATGTTTCCATTAATATGACTTCATAATACTCTCGGGTTTTGACCCCGTTTGTGGGATTGAGATGGTTGATCAAATAAAGAGGAGCAAGTTTGGTGGGGTCTATATGTGCATGTTGGTCTTCAACAATTATATCCATAAGAAAAGCTGTTTCTATAAATGTGGAACGAGGAGTGGTTGGATTAGGTCTTTGAGATGGCCTTGATTGAGCCGGTGTAAAAGCTGGGGTTGATGTATTATGTTCTGGATAGGTTATTTGATGTATAGGTGAAATGGAAAGTGAGAGAGTGGCCAAGGGTGGACTCTCAAGTAATGCTGGTACTATATCAAGAGGCGTTTATCGTTGTGAGAATTGTTGCGAGTGCCCATTATAATGGATAAATCAGGAGGAGTATTATTTTTATTAGCTTCAAAGAGCTGTAGTGCAAGTGATAAGGGTGTATCGTCGTTGGCGTCAGTGTTGCCCCCTTCAAAAATTCATGGGTAAGAAAATCAGGTAAAGAATTAGAAGAACCGTAGAGATGTTCAATAGTGAAATCGAAAGCAGAGATATTAAAGGAATCCCTTCTCCAAAGATAAATCTCCCTGTAACTATACCTAGTATCCAAGAATCATCCGATAAAGGTAAACAGCAGATTCCTAAGCATGAAACTTTAATGCTTTAAGAAGAAAAACCAACCATAAAAGATAATATGAATAATAGAGAATTAGCCTTTATGGATACCACAACCAATGATCTCAATAAAATAGCATATGGTAAATCATGGAAACCAATTACAGCCTTACCATATTATAAAAGACCTACACCGGTAGATGTCCAATTGGAAGAAGATGCAATACAACAGGCAGTATCATATTTTGGCAGATCAATTGTAAATTAGACTATTGATGGCTTATTTGATTTAAAAATATTAGATGTCATGAGACATATGACTATGTTTGCATCAGCCAACAAGATGGCCGGTAATCCTGATCAAGAGGTTGCCAAAGCAATAGTCAATGGATTTACAGGTTGGTGGGATTTTTATGTTGATGATGAAACCAATAATAAAATCTTAACCAATACCAGACAATGGACAGCCAGAAATGAACTGAATCAAGAAATACTTTATATTGAAAGGGATGTTGTAAATACTTTAATTTATACTATTACCCTATATTTTGTAGGAAGTACAGCCTTATTAGCAGCAAGATCAGAAAACTTGTTATCAAATCTACAATGTCCTACTCTATCCCATTATAAATGGTATAATAATGTATTCTTTTCAAGATTATTAATAAGAGAAGACTGTCAGCTTGATCATTGAAAAGAAAAGTTTATTGTTGGTCTTCCCTACTTATTTGCTGAAAAAGTCAAAGAAAGACTAAGAAAGAAACATAATGGTGTTATTACTTATTCTGCTTATACATTAGGAGAATTATCAGCGGAAATATGTGCTGAAGGATTAGTCTTATGCACAGACCTAAAGCTTAAACGCCAACTCGACAAACAACAAATTACTAAACGAAAAGAGCTTGGTGATTTTTGTGAACAATTTGGGTATCACATTGATAATAAAAATAAACCAGAAAATTTATATAAGAAAAAGAAAAAATATCATAAAGGAAAACTGAGGCTAAATAAATCCCATAAAAAATATAAAAAACAAAAATTTATCAAAA